AATTCTATTAACAATAGATTGGAAATAGAGATGATACCAGCTGCAGCTTTTGATGATAGTTGCAGCCACCTTTGCATCATATAAAAATGATTGCAACACACCTCTGCCACTTTGTTTCCTTTTTTGGATTGCGACATGAGCACTTACTATTTGGAAAAACTATATAACATTTTATAACTTGCTTGAGGATGATAATAACCATTGTTCGTTCATATTTAACACACCGATTTTGCCTAAATTATAATAACCTTATGGAAAGAATTGTAATGAAAAAAGAAAATAATATTATTTGACAAGCAATTCTTGTGATTATAATAAAGTTTATTATTTAATTGTTTTATTATGTAATCCTTCAATCTTATCAAAATCACCCTGCATAATCTAATCTCATTTCTATTTTGGGTGAACATTCGTGGGTAAAATTTATATCATCATCGTCATAATTATTACGAAATAAGGTTAATTAATCTTTTTTCTTATTTAAACAACTTGATTTTTTTTTTGTATTTTAACTTTTTTAAAAAAATTCCCAAACTTCATTTTTGCCAATTAATTAATAAATTATAATTGTATTAAACAAATAAAAAATGCTTTCAGAACAAAATTTATCATTACCACCACTTACAATAAATTCATCAAATAATAAGATTACTCATAATCCTGTTTATCAACATAGATTCGAATCAAGAAAAGAAGTTGGAAAATTGTTGGCTAGATTTTTGAAACATTACCATAATGCACCAGATACAAGTAAATTAATTATTATATATATTATATTCACATATTCTCAAATTATATATATATATATATATATATATATATTAATATATATATTTTTTTTTAGTTGTTCTCGCTATTAAACCTTCAGCAACAATTATAGCTCACGAAATAGCAAAAGAATTAAATGTACCATTAGATTTATTTTTAATTCGTTCTTTGAAAATGGATGGAATGACAATTGGAGCTATAACTGACAGAACAGACAAGCCTCTATTAAAGGATCAAATTATTCAGTAATTAATTATATTAATTAATTAATAAACAAACAATTAATAAAATAAAACAAACTAAATACTAAATAAAATAATTTTTTTAGAGGTTGTGATATTTCACAAGAATTAATAGATTCCAAAATTGCAGAGCAGGTAAACATCATAATTAATTAATAGTATGATTGATTACTTGTTGGTTATTATCAACTTTGTTGATAGTTTCTTAAAAATATATATATAGCGTGCTCAACTTCAAATTTTACATCAAGAATGCAATCCACCAAATTTACCTTTACCAAAATCTGAAAATGCAAATATCATTTTGGTAACTGATGGTATTAAAACTGGTCAAGATGCTCGTAACACCATTTCAATTTTAAAAAGTCTAGGTTATAATGGTAAGATTATTTTATCTGGTGGTGTTATTGGTTCTGATGCTCAGGTACTTTACTTTTTGCTTTTTTGTTTGTTGTTCATTTTTAATTTGTTATTATTGATTTATTGATTTATTGATTTATTGATTGATTGATTTATTGATTTATTGATTTATTGATTTATTGATTTATTGATTTTATTTTTAATAAATCAGAAAAGGTTTATGAAAAAAGTTTATAATGTTGTTGCCGTTAAAGCACCACAAATTGTTGGTTCAGTTGGTAATGTATCAATATATCAATTTCATATATAATTATAATTAATCGAAATCCTAATCTAATTGTAATTAATTAACAATTTTAGAATCTTGGTATGAAGACGGCCATGAACATTTAACAAATGCACAGATAAAACAACTTTTAAGTAATAAAAATTAAATCCCGTTTTTTTTTTTTCTAATTAATAATTTTTTTTAAAACAAACTAATTCATTCATAAGGGGGCAAAAATAATCAAATAAATCATGTTTTCATTATATCAAATTTATATGATTTACTTGTAGAACAAGTTATTTATTGAATTCGTGATACAACCAACTATATCGACCTTTGCATATTTCCTTTTCTACTTTTATTGCTGTTTAGCCAAATATTGACAATTTTTTATGACAAGATAAAAAAAAACCTTCTAATTCTTGTCCCATTTTCAGGTGTTAGGTTGTCCATAACATAAAATTGTATTGATCAATTTAATCAAAAGCTTAATTTCGTTACACCTACTGATTATTAGTGTCAGATCGACATAGCCAAGTCCAAATTTGGGTTTCGAAAATGCATCAGTGATTATTATTATTCAAAAAATAAAATCAAATTTTATTTGAAATAATTTTAATTTAATGAATCCGAAAAGTAGAAGATCGCATCATTCATATAATTTTCTATAAAATTTAAGATGAGATAATAATAATATCACAACAACAGGTCAAATGTCGAATTGATTAATGTGAATTTCTATTTAAAAAAGAAAAGATAGTAAAAAAAAGCTTTTGATTGACACATGTATTTCTAGTACTAGTAGAAGATTCAATTAAAACGACATTTTGACTGAATATTTTTTTTACCCACACTTTTTTACCTTTTAGATTGATATTACAATTTTGATTTGTGTAATTTAACTAAAAGTGATGTCAAATAAGTGACGTTTCAATTAGAGTGACGTTTTTGTTATCTGACGAATATCTAATTTTTTCTTTTTCTTCACTTAAAAAAAAATTTTTTTTCGAAAAATATACCTTATTAAAAAAATATAGTTTCTATTGATAATAACATCTTTTTACAAAATAAAATGATTCTCGAAAACAAAATTTTAAGCAACTCTTACACTTTTTTTGAAAATCATAATATCTCACCTGGTAAGAGAAAAAAAGTGATACATATACATATATTTTTATAATTATAATTTTCCCATGGTTTTTCTTATTATTATTATTATTATTGTTATTATTATTATTTAATCCTTTTATTTTTTAGAAGAAATTTTTAAAAGTTTTACAAGAGGTGATGATGCTAACAGCGATATTGAGATGACGAATAACATATATTACCAAAAACAAACTTCAACATCAAAACCGCTTTCATTGCCAATTTATTTCCGCGTCGCTTATATTAACGGTGATGATGATGATTGTGATGGTGAAAAATCAACGATGACAATATCCTGTAAATTTGAAATCTTGAATAAAATATGTAAAAGTATTTCTGATCACGGTCATAATTATAGACCTAACCAAACTGCTTTCAGTGAAAGAAAAAGCTTTCAATTAAAATCTACTAAATACGGAGCAAATTATAGTCATTTTATTTATGAATATGTTTTAATTGATGATAGTGGATCAACAATTTATGAAATAGATCTTACTGATAAATCGTTAAATGATGCTAAAGATTGCTTATTAAAGAATTATTTAAAAGTTGACATTACTACTTCCAACAAAGATGGTGACGGCGATGATGACGGCGGAGATATTAAAAACAACGACAATAATGTTAAAAAAACCATCAATAACAATAATCACCAAAAAAACAACGACAACGTCCAAAATTGGATTGACTTGTGCGTGATCTTAATATCACCAAACTCACCACGACTTTCAAATTTACTTGTCGAAACAATGAAAGAACTACAAAATCATATAAATTTATTTCCAGTAATTATTGGTCTTTGTGATCAAGAGCCAAGCGATAATAATAATTACAACAAAAGATCAGCAATACAACTTTTCCGAATTTTAGAAAACTATCAAATCAATTGTTTTAATTGGCAAGCTAGCAAAAGAAATCAAATAGTAACAGCCAACGAATTTTCATTTTTTGATCCTAACCTTGTTTACAATGATGTTCTAATATTGAAAAATCATGCATTCAAATTCAAAATGAATCACGAATTTAGGAACGTAATAACAAATAATGATCACAGTGATGATGACGATTATGACGACGATGACGACGACGACGACGACGACGACGATTATGACGATTATGACGATAATTATTACGACGACGATGACGATGATTATGACGACGATGTTAGTGAAAATAATGATGAAAATAGTGATTGTAGAGATGGTTATAAATGGGCGAAGAAGACACGAGAAGTCATTTCGATCATAGTAATAATTATTCTTTTCTTCTTGGATCTTACGACAAGCTTGACTAAATATGACTTACTTTTAATTAATAAAAATAGCTATAGTGATTACAATCCTAGTAATATCAGTAATGATATTAATAATAATAATAATAATATGTTAAGAATTAAACTTGAAGAAACCTTTAACGATAGCAATAACAGTAATAGTAACAGTGATAGCGACGTCGGGAATAATTTAGGTTATGTTAATCTTGATATAAAATTTTTAAAGTATAAAGGATCAACTCAATATATTGATCTTTGGCAAATATCCGAAACTGATTTTTTGTTTAATCTTAATGAATCACCATTAACAAAAAAGATTAAAAACAATGAATTTCAAGTTATTCTCTATAATTACAAAGATCAGCAAGTAAGGAAACAAGTTGCCATGGCTGATGAAAATTTATTTTTATTCCGTATTAATTACGATGATTTTAATGATCGCAATGATGAAAAACAACCGAAACAAATACGAGTATCAGCAGATATTGTAGATAGAAAAGGAAATATTCTGAAAGGTTTTAATTTGTTATTGACAAAAGATGAAATTATTTACTTGGATGTTATTGATGGAGTTAATGGCGACGATGATAAGAAAATGGTTGCGGAAGAGAAAAATGATATTAATATTTATAGCTATAAAGGTGGTGGTGTTTCTATTAGTAAAAATCAATATTATTATTATTATTTTAATAATATTTTAGATCAAGTTTTCGATAAAATTCCTCCTATGCTGGAAGATTTTAAAGATTTTATCGATCAAACGATCATACCATTATTAAGCAATTCTCAAGAGACGTTCGTACATATAACAAAAAAAATTGATTTGTGGATGTCCTTTTTTGTTGATTGATAATAATATAAATAATAATCTTTGTACATATTTTTTTACTGTGTTGTTATTTTTTTATAAATAAAATAATTTTTTTTAATACTTTACAATTTAATTATTTTCACAAGGTTTGTTTAATATAATATTTAAGAATGTTCCAAGTCTAAGGCCACCTTTAGCAAGTTGTTGATCGATAACTTGCACTGCATCTTGATAATATCTTCCACCTAAATCTACTTTTGGATTATCATCAATAGCTGCCCAAACCTAATTAATTAAAAAAATTTACAAGTTCGTCTTTACGCGTGTAATATATGTGTAAATAAACAGATAAATAGAGATATAAACTTACCAAAGGACAATTAATTCCATTGGTATCAATTGCCCAAGTAAGTGGACATTTTGTAGTAGCTTTAGCACGTTTTCTTAAATTAAGATTAAGACCTTTTAGTTTTGTCTCTTTACATGAAATCCAAGTTTGTGACACTTTTGCGAAAGTTCCGTTAGTAATTTCATTAGTTAAGTGATTTGCGTATGTTTCAAAATTATCGTTGTAGTCTTTTAATCTTTTTTTAACCTAAAATTGTCAATCAATCAATAAGTCAATTAATAATGCGTTTCTTTCCTAAAGAATCAAAAAAATTATTAAAGATTTTTTTTTTTTACAATATCTCTATCCCAGATTACGTGAAGACTTTTTTAAAAAACATATAAAATTAATTAAATTAGAATGTGATGATAATGGATATTAATATAGTGTAGTTTGACTTTTTACTTTGTAGGACGACCATCAAATGTCACTTTAATACCATTTCCACCTTTAGCACGTCCGCAAACATGAAGTGCTAAAAAACACAATTAATTAATTAACTAATTAATTATTATTAAAGACATTAAAAATAAAAATAAAATTATTACGTTGTGTAATATCACCAAAGAAATGTGATAAAAATCTAAGAGCAATATCTCTAGTATTGATGTCACGGCCATTTTCACAATCCAATTGATCTGTATAATTGGCAATTGCTAATCGTGTAATAATATTATATTATAAACCGTTTAGTAATTAAGAAAAAAAATAAAATAAAATATAATTTTTAGAGGAAAGGGGAAAACCTACCACCAACTATACAAGCACCTCCAGGACAATCGTTCGCCTAAAAAATTGTTATAACGAATTGATTATTGAGGGGAAAAAATAATAAAAATACAAAATACAAACAAATAAACGCGCAAAAAATTTTTTTGGTTTTTTTTTAATTACCTCATCGACAGAACAAACTCTGCCGGGATTATCATGCGTAGTCATATAATGTAAAGGAAAACTCCAATTGTATGGAGATTCTGGTATTTCTTTAATCATATCAGCCCAAAGAGAAGCGAGAGGTAATTTTCCATCAAAAGATGGATCTTGAAACAAGCTGGCAACTCTTTTAGCTATTTCCGGGTTCAAAATATTTTGAGCAATTTTACCAACAATCTTGTGACCATCTTCACCCCAAGCATTTACCATTTGAATGGTGGTAAAATTGGTGATAATAATAAATAGAAAAATCAAAAAAATCGATGAATTTTTCATTTTGAAAAAAAAAACAGGTTATAACAATAATTTTATGATAAAAATAAAAGGATTGAGAAAAATCAGATTATTTATCCTTGAAACCGTATTTGCGACCTAATAATAGAAGATTTGTTTGTAACATGCGATTTTTACACAATTGAACAAATGGTTTTTAAGGTTATGTCACTGATAAAGAAATTACATGGTGATTATTGCGGAAAATAATTGCGCAAACAATCATTTTATATTAACGTTAACGTTAATAATGACCTTATGAATATGTTAAAGCAAATGAAGAAAAACGTAATAAGCATGAAGAACATGGAGAGGCTGATTTAAGCGAATATTTGTTGCAATAGTAATAATAGAGATTGCTATCATGAAAAGAAAATTATCTATTCAAACGAACAAGACTAAATTGTATGAATAAGAAATGCGAGGAAAAAGTTTATAATAAAAAAATATTCCAACTTAAACTGCTAGTTATGTGGGATAATAATAATGGAGTAGGTTTTGGTAAGGTCACTACTACTGTATTCTACAAGTTGTTTCTTTGAAAAAAAAGTGATTTTTTTTTTGCTTTCAGTTTATCACGTTTACACAAAAAATGTGCTACGGTTTAACAATAAACAAAACAAAAAAAACAAGTATATATATGTGTCGTACGAACATCAATTCAAATATTATTGTAATTTCCTGATTAGAGAGTTTTTAGGGTATTTAGGATAATGATAAAAATGGTAAAATGATAATAGTTGTACGCCCGATATATATAATAGAGAGAGAAATTAATTATAAAAAAATGAATCGGGACAAAAGTAAAGTTCGTTATAGAGAGTGAGCTGTATGTAACAAACGATAAATCAAAAATTCCAACTTGGATACAAAAATGAAAGAATAATTATTTGTTTTTAACAATATCTAAACCAATAATCAACCATTCATTACTAATTAATATTAATTGGTCAGAAAATATTCCCATGTCAAGTTTCTCAAAAAACAACTCATCTTAATTCTTCAAAAGTTTTTCAATTTATTTTGAGTGAATGAGCGAGGAACAAGTGTATTTTATCGTTTCATCAAATATCATTTACAACTCATTCTATTTGCAATGGAATAAATGAATTATTGTTAATTAGAATATTGTATATATGAATAAAAAAATGCCTTTTTTGATTGGTTTCCATCACAAATATCAGTAATATCTTATCTGATTACTTAGTATTAAACCAATACTCCAATATTAATCAATCAGCATATTATGTATACTGTATATTATAAATTATTACTTTGAAATATGTTTCCCGTGATCATTCTTTCCAACGTTAAATAATTAAAAATATCACAAGAAACATTGCATGCTTTTGATGACGGTTGTGATTATTCGTCGAGATTTTCTTCCGTTGTTTTTCCTCTGATTATTGTCTGAGATTTTGAGATCGCTGTTATCCATATTTATTATTATTATTATTATATTACACGCTTGTTTGGTTTTAAGAAAAAGAAAAAATTCACACATAATATAATAATAAAATATGAAAATTATTATACAAAAAAGGTTTGTAAATACAGGGCCGTGGCCTTAAATTTTTAATTACCGAAAAAGAGGAACTTTTGTTTATTTAATGTTATTTGAATATGCATTTTTGTATAGTAGCAATACCGTTTACAAAACCCCACCATTATTTATTCCAATTGATTTCTGTCGATTCTTCATTTTTTTAAACCCGTCAATTTTCGTCATATTAATAAATGTCCCGCTTTGAGATCCGAATTTTTCAAATAAATTGGTTGGCTTCATTTATTTTAGTCATTAGGTTGAATATTCCGTAAAGATAGGTCCTATATACTACTACCTTTACCAGGGATGTCTTCTTCTGCCATGCTTCCTCTCTTTACTTAATATCTGGTTGACATCGAACTATTGTATATTCGTTGTTCCATAAAAACAGGCACATACACTGTCAATGCCAAATGATGTTCTGAGAAATAATATTTCTTCAAGACAAGAGACCTAAATGGTTAATTTAATACACTAAATATTTTCTTGAGAAAGCAACTAGCGCATACTCAATAAATAGTGATAATAAGGAAAAATAAAAACATTTATTATTTTTAAAGCGGAGTTAAGTTTGTTGATTAATTATAATGAAAGAAGAAATTATTTGTTCCCCCAATAGAATGATGATGATTCACATGGATAAGATTTTTCAAATATCGAATACTCTTTCATTGTGTAATTAATTGACTTTTAAATTATGTTGGTTGTATCCTTTGAATTATAATTAATTATCTTTGGCGAAGAATTTTTTTTTTTTTTTTTGACAAAAGACCGAGTTTAAAATTCTATATTTAATATTTATTACTTGTTTGGCGTACAATTAGGACCAGCCTTGGCTCGCCTTTAATATTGGGAAATAAAAATAGGGTCTGTGTGATCCGGACTCTTGTTAAAAGAACCCAATTCGAAAATATACTATCATTCGAACGTGTAATTTGTATTATGTTGCACAATATATAATATCTTAAAAAAAAATCAACGACAATAGATGATAAAAATAATGTCCTCTAAATCTCCATTTACAATTTCAACCAATAAAGAAAAATCAATGGTAGATAATTTAAAAGAAATTTTAATAGAATATGAAGCCACCATAAAACAATTTTTTGCATCTATTGCGTCGTCAACTGCTGAAGGAAAATCGCAGACTGAACATACGCCGGTAAAATTAATGAAAAATATTGTTGAATTAGATAAAAAGATGCAAAAAAGTCTTGATCAAAGTAAGGTGTGGTGATTGTATGTATATGTGTGTGTGTATATTATTGTTATTGTTATTATTATTTCTAGTGACAAAAAATAACTATTAAAAAAATAAAAGTTGAAGAACATCAGAAAGTTCATAATGAAATATTGCAAGTAGAAAATGAACTTGAATTAGAGAATAATGCAATATTGGAATTGGTAAATGCTTTGAAAGAAGGAAAAAAAGAATTTGAGTCGAGTTTAGAAAATGCTGATACAACAATTCAAGCAATTAATTTTGCCAATAAATGTATGTATTATTACAGGAATAATATTACTACTACTATTAGGAAAAATTAATTAATATATTTAATTTACTTTATTAGCACCAGTTACAGCAGATGAAATCTTAAAATATGCAGCCAAACTTAGTAAATATACATCAGCACCATCAAGTTTTAATAACCAAAATGCTAATATTCCACTTCAGCCCCCATATCCTGATGAAACTCTTATGCGTGCTGGATTATTATTTAGACAATATGATGATGGTGAAAGTAAGATTTTGGAATTATTTCTTTTTTTTTTTTGAAAAAGCTTTCATTATTAAAATATAAATTAAAATAATATATATATATATAGAAGATTTTATGAATATAACAGATATTCATCAGAATCAACTTGAAGTCGAAGAATTTGATTCAATGGATGTTCATAAAAACATCAATAATAGTAATAATAACCCAATGATTGTCAACGAAACAACAGCATCATCATATTTACAAACTAATCAAATTGAACAACAATATAATTTGGATCTAAATCCTGATCTTGAATAATAAAACATCTAGATGTGTGTGTGTGTGTGTATTTGTGTGTGTGAGAAGAGGGAGCATGTGTATATATTTATCTGTGTATGAATGTTGCTTTGTATATTTTTTTTTTGGTCAGCAATAATAATAAAATTTTTTTTTGAAAATTCATTCATCAATTCATTTATTATTCACTACTAATATATTATTTTTTATCACATCAAATTAAATATAGAATAATATTATTCCTTAAAATAAAATCAAAACATCTATCAAAAATAACTCTTTTTTATTTATTAATTTAATCAATGCTTTAAAAAAATCCTTTTCAAAGGTTGATTAACAATAATAACTAAAAAAAAACAAATAAAAAAAACAATGTTAATTTCTTTCTATACATTTGTATTTAATATCTACATATATATATGATATGATTGATCAATCATAATGCCTTGTTATCAACAACATCAACATTCGTAGACGTGGTAGTTGTGGCAGTTGGATTGTCAGGTTCAGTTGTTTGTTCAGTTAAATATTTTTGTTTGTAAAACTTTTCCCGTTTAAATAGTAAAATATGTGGTTCAGGTGCTAATAATATATGATGATAACATATTATTAATATTATATTTTATGATATGCTATTATTGCTACCATTAATATTTGATTGGTATTATTACCATGAATCAAATAATGTTCCCATCCTTTTGATTGTTTTATACCAAGACTTCGCCATTCATCATCTGTCAAGAGCCTATTATGTGGCATATATTGAGCAATTTGTCTAGGTAAAGTAACATGTCTATATTTATAACATGATATATTTATTAGTGAAAAGTCATTTTATGATCTTTTAAAATTACATAATAATAATAAATATTATTATTATTATGATTAGCATTATAATCTAAATAATGGAAATAAAAATAAAAATATACCTGTATTCAGAATGTTCATCTAAAAAAAATTTTTTTTAATAAAGATAAAATTGATGCAACATATATATACACATACACACATAGATACACGTAAATATTAATGAACAAACCATAATATGTGTGAGAATAGCTGATGTTATCTTCATACTGTTCAATTGTGTATTTTCTTAACTCTTCATATGTAGTAAATTGATGTTGAATTTGTTTATCGGGTTGACTCCTAATAATATCATAATAATAAAATTTGGTTGATTGTTTTTTACAAACAATTTAGTTTTTGATTATCATAATATTTTAATAGTAACAGTAAAAATAATAGTAGTAATAAATAATAATAGAATAATAAGCATAGTAATAGTAGATTTGTTAAGGCTAACTAACCAATCTCTTTGTTGTGGTTGTTGCTGTTGTTGTGGTTGCTGAGGGTTTTCGACTTGCATGACAACAAGAAAGACTAAATATTTTGAGATCACAGACAAAAAAAATATAGTGCGCGCGGTCTAAAGACCTTCTAAATTTTTAAAATATAGAAGCTACTTTCTGTCTCACCTTTTAAAAAATAGTTCTGTTAGTTTTAGTTGATAGAATAGGTTTCTCGTAACTTTAATATGACAACAGATTTTCTCAAAATTGTTTATTGTATAATTCTATATACTATTCTCTTTTTAGTAGATGTATGTGTTTTTGAGGAATTTGGCCTCGAGTATCATTACTAAATTTAGAATAATTACGAAAATCATATTTAAATTTGGAGGTATCGAATCAGTTTAACTGTTATATCAACATTAATAACAAATTTATATAGGGAACTATCTATGTTTGAATGTCAGGTGCTAAACCTTAATGCCTTTACTGGGCCTGATTTAGTGGGTAACGGTGAAAGGTTGGTTTCATGGTGAACTTATTAGTTTACTAGGAGGCAGTCATTTTCTTTTTTGTGTAACTCATGTATATAGGGAAACACAGTATGTTTTCATTTAAAATCATGTTTTAATGTTCAACTCAGTCAATTAATCTATGGGAGCAAGGCTTTCTCTGCAGAAGTGTGCGAGGGGAACAAGGATGGATATTTTTTTAAATACTTGTAACAAACAATTATCGTGCTGTAAAATAGTAAATATTGGATCACGGGAAACGAACATATAAATCGGAAATGATTTACATGTGTTACGAAGTGAAAATTCGGAAATGATTATCA